TTCTCCATCAAATCTGAATGAGATCCTTGCTGGGTAGAGTAATCTTGGTTGCAGGTTTTTCTTCTTCAACACTTTCAATATGTCCTGCCACTCCCTTCTGGCTTGCAGAGTTTCTGCTGAAAGATCAGCTGTTAACCTTATGGGGATTCCCTTGTGTGTTATTTGTTGTTTTTCCCTTGCTGCTTTTAATATGTTTTCTTTGTATTTAATTTTTGACAGTTTGATTAATATGTGTCTTGGCATATTTCTCCTTGGATTTATCCTGTATGGGACTCTCTGTGCTTCCTGGACTTGATTAACTATTTCCTTTCCCATATTAGGGAAGTTTTCAACTATAATCCCTTCAAATATTTTCTCAGTCCCTTTCTTTTTCTCTTCTTCTTCTGGAACCCCTATAATTCGAATGTTGGTGCGTTCAATGTTGTCCCAGAGGTCTCTGAGACTGTCCTCAGTTCTTTTCATTCTGTTTTCTTTATTCTGCTCTGCAGTAGTTATTTCCATTATTTTATCTTCCAGGTCACTTATCCGTTCTTCTGCCTCAGTTATTCTGCTATTGATCCCATCTAGAGTATTTTTCATTTCATTTATTGTGTTGTTCATCATTGTTTGTTTCATCTTTAGTTCTTCTAGGTCCTTGTTAACTGATTCTTGCATTTTTTCTATTCTATTTCCAAGATTTTGGATCATCTTTACTATCATTATTCTGAATTCTTTTTCAGGTAGACTGCCTATTTCCTCTTCATTTGTTAGGTCTGGTGAGTTTTTATCTTGCTCCTTCATCTGCTATGTGTTTTTCTGTCTTTTCATTTTGCTTATCTTACTGTGTTTGGGGTTTCCTTTTTGCAGGCTGAAGGTTCGTAGTTCCTGTTGTTTTTTGTGTCTGTCCCCAGTGGCTCAGGTTGGTTGAGTGGGTTGTGTAGGCTTATGGTGGAGGGGACTAGTGCCTGTGTTCTGGTGGATGAGGCTGGATCTTGTCTTTCTGGTGGGCAGGTCCACGTCTGGTGTGTGTTTTGGGGTGTCTGTAGACTTATTATGATTTTGGGCAGCCTCTCTGCTAATGGGTGGGGTTGTGTTCCTGTCTTGCTAGTTGTTTGGCATAGGATGTCCAGCACTGTAGCTTGCTGGTCGTTGAGGGAAGCTGGGTGCTGGTGTTGAGATGGAGATCTCTGGGAGATTTTCATCGTTTGATATTATGTGGAGCTGGGAGGCCTCCTGTGGACCAGTGTCCTGAAGTTGGCTCTCCCACCTCAGAGGCAGAGCACTGACTCCTGGCTGCAGCACCAAGAGCCTTTCATCCACAGGGCTCCTTAATTTGGGATGATTCGTTGTCTATTCATGTATTCCACAGATGCAGGGTACATCAAGTTGATTGTGGAGCTTTAATCCGCTGCTTCTGAGGCTGCTGGGAGAGATTTCCCTTTCTCTTCTTTGTTCTCACAGCTCCCAGGGGCTCAGCTTTGGATTTGTCCCCTCCTGTGTGTGTAGGTCGCCGGAGGGCGTCTGTTCTTTGCTCAGACAGGACGGGGTTAAAGGAGCCGCTGATTCGGAGGCTCTGGCTCACTCAGGCCGGGTGGGGGGGGGGTAGGGAGGGTCACGGAGTGTGGGGCGAGCCTGCAGCGGCAGAGGCCGGCGTGACATTGCTAGCCTGAGGCGCGCCGTGCGTTCTCCCAGGGGAGTTGTCCCTGGATCCCGGGGCCCTGGCAGTGGCGGGCTGCACAGGCTCTCCGGAAGGGGGTGTGGATAGTGACCTGTGTTCGCACACAAGCTTCTTGGTGGTGGCAGCAGCAGCCTTAGCGTCTCATGTCTGTCTCTGGGCTCCGCACTTTTAGCCGCGGCTCGCGCCCGTCTCTGGAGCTCTCTTAAGCAGTGTTCTTAATCCCCTCTCCTCGTGCACCAGGAAACAAAGAGGGAAGAAAAAGTCTCTTGCCTCTTCGGCAGGTCCAGACTTTTGCCCGGACTCCCTCCCGGGTCGCCGCGGTGCACTAACGCCCTGCAGGCTGTGTTCACGCCGCCAACCTCAGTCCTCTCCTGGTGCTCCGACAGAAGCCGGAGCCTCAGCTCCCAGCCCCGCCCGCCCTGGCGGGCGAGCAGACAAGCCTCTCGGCTAGTGAGTGCCGGTCGGCACCGACCCTCTGCGCAGAATCTCTGCGCTTTGCCCTCCGCACCCCTGTTGCTGTGCTCTCCTCCGTGGCTCCCAAGCTCCCCCACTCCGCCACCCGCAGTCTCCGTCACCCGCAATCTCCGTCACCCGCAGTCTCCGCCTCCGAAGCTCCCCCACTCCGCCACCCGACGTCTCCGCCCGCGAAGGGGCTTCCTAGTGTGTGGACACTTTTCCTCCTTCACAGCTCTCTCCCGCTGGTGCAGGACCCGTGCCTATCCTTTTGTCTCTGTTTATTTTTTTCTTTTGCCCTAACCTGGTACGTGGGGGGTTCCTTGCCTTTTGGGAGGTCTGAGGTCTTCTGCCAGCGTTCAGTAGGTGCTCCGTAGGAGTTGTTCCACGCGTAGATGTATTTCTGGTGTATCTGTGGGGAGGAAGGTGATCTCTGCGTCTTACTCTTCCGCCATCTTCCCGGAAGTCCCCAAAGCTCATTTTCCGCCTGAACAGGGACATGAACCCTGGATCCTTAGGTTAAAAGTCTGATGCTCTACCGACTGAGCTACCCGGGCCTACCCTTTTTCTTATTTGTGTGTATATCTATTGTAGATTTTTTTTTGTTTGTTTGTGGTTACAATGATAATAGCAGTCTATATAAATACAAGATTGTTTTAAGTTGCTGGTCTCTTAATTTCAAGTACATTTCATATATCCTGTATTTTTAGTCTCCTCTTCTCATGATTGCTGGTTTTAATACCATATTTGTGTGTGGATGATTTCCTACCTTTATTGTATGTTTGCCTTTACTGGTGAGCTTTCCCATTCATACTTTTCTTGTTTCTAGTTGTGGCCTTTTCTTTTCCACCTAGAGAAGTTCCTTTAGTATCTGTTGTAAAGCTGGTTTGGTGCTGGTGAATTCTCTTAGCTTTTGCTTGTCTGTAAAGCTTTTAATTTGTCCATCAAATCTGAATGAGAGCCTTGCTGGGTAGAGTATGCTTGGTTGTACCTTTTTCCCTTTCATTACTTTAAGTATATCATGCCACTAATGGCCTGCAGAGTTTCTCCTGAAAAATCAGGTGATAACCTTATGGGGATTCCCTGTATGTTATTTGTTGCTTTTCCCTCATTGCTTTTAATATTTTATCTTTGTTTTTAATTTTTCTCAATTTGACTATTATGTGTCTTGGAATGTTCCTCCTTGGGTTTATCCTCTATGTACTCTCTGCACTTCCTGGACTTGGGTGACTGCTTCCTTTCCCATGTTAAGGAAGCTTTCAGCTATTATCTTTTCAAATATTTTCTCAGGCCCTTTCTCTTTCTCTTCTCCTTTTGGGACCCCTATAATGTGAATGTTTATGAGTTTAATGTTGTCCCAGAGGCCTCTTAAACTGTCCTCGTTTCTTTTCATTCTTTTTTCTTTATTCTGTTCCGCAGCAGTGATTTCCAATAGTCTGTCTTCCAGCTCACTTATCCTTTCTTCTGCCTCATTCATTCTGCTATTGATTGCTTCTAGTCTATTTTTCATTTCAGTTATTGTATTGTTCAACTTTGTTCTTTATATCTTCAGTCCTTTGTTAAATATTTCTTGTATCTTCTCAGGCTGTGCCTCCATTCCTTTTCTGAGATTTTGTATCCTCTTTACTATCATTACTCTGAATTCTTTTTCAGGTAGATTGCCTATCTCCACTTCACTTTGTTGCTCTTCTGGGGTTTTATCTTGTTCCTTCATCTGGAACATACTCCTCTGCCATCTCATTTTGTCTAACATTTTGTGCAGTCTGTCTTCCACAGGCTGCAGGATTATAGTTCCTCTTGCTTCTGGTGTCTGCCCCCTGTTGGGCAAGGCTGGTCTAGAGGCTTGTTCAGGCTTCCTGGTGGCAGGGACTGTACCTGCCCACTGGTGGGTGGAGCTGGGTCTTGTCTCTCTGGTGGGCAGGGTTGTGTCAAGGGGTGTGTTTGAAGGCAACTGTGGGCTCAGGAAGACTTTAGGCCTACAGGCTCTTGTGTGGGGCCAGTTCTTGGTGTCAAAATGGAAGCCTCCAGGAGAGCTCATACCAATGAATGCTCCCCAGTACCTCCACCACCAGTGTCCTTGTCACCACAGTGAGCCACAGCCTCTTTCCTGCCTACTCAGGAGACCCTCCAAGACCATCAGGTAGCTCTGCCTCAGGCTCCTCTGAAGTCATTGCTTTCACCCTAGGTCCCACTGTGCATGAGACCTTGTGTGCATCCTCCAAGAGTGGAGGTTCTGTTTCTCCCAGTCCTGTGGAGTTTCTGTAATCAAGCCCTGCTGGCCTTCAAAGCCAAATGCTGTGGGGGCTCTTCCTCCTAATGTCAGAGCACCCAGAACAGGGAGCCTGATGTGGGGCTCATAACTCTCACTCCTGTGGGAGAACCACTGCAATATAATTATTTTCCAGTTTGTGGGTCACCCACCCAGTGGGTATGGGATTTGATTGTATCACAGATGCGCCCCTCCTACCATCTTGCTGTGGCTTCTTCTTTATCTTTGGATGTAGAATATGTTTTTTGGTAGGTTCCAGTCTTTTTTGTTGGTGGTTGTTCAGCAGTTAGTTGTGATTTTGTGAGAGGAGGTGAGCTCAAGTCCTTCTATTCTGCCATCTTGTCTCGAACCTCTGAAAGATCTTTTAATCTCTACATCTCAACTTTCATGCTTCAACAGTCTGCTAGGCAAGAATAGTTGGGATGTTGATAAGTGGAGCCACAGAAATGGCCCCATTGATGGGAGATGACAGCCATGGTTGATGTGATGTGCCTTGTTGTGTGATACATTTAAATAAGACACACTTGGTCCAAGCTTTCAAAAGTCTGCAGAGCTGTGCTCCATTCTTATGGATGTCTAATACTAAAATTGGAATTTTCTGCTCCACCCATTTCCTTTTAGTTATATTGGCAGGAAGAGGATGCAACTAAAAGAGCCAGAGAAAGCTGTGCCCAATGTGGTAAATCTGGTCGAAGCTGACTATTCTTACTGGACTCTGGGCTATGTCATCTCTCTGGAAGGAGCACAGAAGCTTGTTGGAGCCAATCCTTTTGGGAAGATGCTACCAGTGGATGAGTTTCTGCCAATCATGTACAACAAGCATCCTGTGTGAGTTACCCTGAACTGCCTGCCTATCCCTTGAGCAAAATCCATTCATGAATTATGCTACTTGGTTTCTGGGTAATACTTAATATATTTTAAGGGGTACTACTTTCCTAAGTGATCTGTCCATAATCATGACCCAGAGAGGCCGATTTGAGTGATTATCCCCTTTTACAGATGGGGAAGATGAGGCAGAAATGGTGAGTCTTGCATAGGAGTCCTCTTTAATACTCAGCGGGTAGTTTAACTGGACGTAATCTGCTCAGTCCTCTCATCTCTGATTTTCTTACTTCCATAAACCCATATACACCTCAAGGTGAAGGTCATCTTCCTAAACACCTCAGATTTTTCTGTTCATTTCTTAGTTCATTGAGTGTACTGTTGGCCAGGCAGTAGCTCACAGGCTAGTTGGGAACCCAGACTCGAGAACAGTCATTGTGATGTATTGTGATACCTGCAATCACAGAGATGTGTTAGAGGCTCAGAGAGAGTGGAGGTGGCCTCTGAGCAAGGTGTCCATAGAAGAAGGCAGTGTGTTGCTAGAGTTCCTGTAGCCTGGGAGTTCACTCTGACCTAGTGCTTATCAAGGGCATGGTAAATTATGGGTTTATGTGTCAGTCTCCCCAATAACCTATGAGCCCCTGAGGCAGGAACCATCTTTTATCTCTGTGTCCTTAGAGCCTAGTCCAAACTCTATACATAATAGCTGCTTGATCAGTGCTTCCTTAAATTCATTACTGGAGCAGAAGACCAGGTTCTAACCTTGGCTTCTTCTCTCAGTTGCTGGGTGATTCCTCCCTAGATGGTCTTCATGTTAGCAGTTGAGTGTTCTTGTCCTGCATCTTGCTCATTTTGTCTCCTGTCTTCAGTAAAGATGGACAACGTGTCGGAGACTGATTTTTATCTCTGCTTCCCAACATAAACATGGAGGTCAATCATCATCCCCTCAACAGAAAGGAAATTGAGACCTAGCAGCCAAGCAGATGTCACCTCATGTAATCTGCACAGGAGCCCTGGGAGGGAGGGCAAGTCATCCCTCCACTTTACACTCACTTGTCGCTGGAATGCAAAGCCACGCTGGTGTGCCTCCAAGCCTACACCACATCACTCAACCCTTCATTGCCATCCAGCTCCCAGCCGTCTAATTTATTAATCCGGGAACAGAGCATTTTTCTACAAAGTGATCACATTTATTTATTATTATGGTCCAACAGAGCTTAATCCTTAATTTTTAGAATAAGACCTGAAATTCATTTTTAAACTAGTCTATCCAAATACAACAGAAACATCCTGACCTTTTTCTTTGTGCATTTGTTTAGACCATCTGAAAGCTTTTAAAGAAAACTGTATTGTGTTCGTAGACTAAAATTTTCCACACAGGACACAACTTGAAAAATAATCAAATGAGTCTATGAGAATTTAAGAGATAACAAGTGGGGCTCTTTTCCCCTGTTCTGTAAGTGTCCTGCTCCCTCACCCACCTGTACACCTCTTGTTTTCAGTGCTGAGTACATGGAGCATTACGAATCCAGGGACTTGAAAGCCTTCTCTGCAGAACCCTTGCTCATCTACCCAACACACTACACAGGCCAGCCAGGGTATCTGAGTGACACGGAGACCTCAACCATCTGGGACAATGAGACAGTGGCCACTGACTGGGACAGGACACATGCCTGGAAGTCCAGGAAGCAAGGTCACATCTACCGCAATGCCAAGAACACAGAGGCCCTGCCACCGCCAACCTCCCTGGACACTGTGCCTTCGAGAGATGAGTTATGAGGGCTCCATGGGGGGGTTACTGCCCTGTGGTTTTCCTAATGGGCTGTTGATATGTTTGTTCCAGTTTCTTTTCATGGTCACGATCATCTAACCAAAGTGGTCTAATGTGATTGATCAAAATTAGTATGTTTTTGACAGGGGAAGGGAATAGGGAAACTAAACCCAAATTTCCTAGATGGCTAGAAAATAGGCTTTATGGAAACCATTAAGATGAACTTCAATCCAGACACCTTGTCCCTCAGTTCATTACCCATATGATACTCGTTCTCATGTTGAGGTTGAACAGCATGGCTCAGAGATTCATAAAAGGGAAAGGTGATCACCACACTATCACGTCAATAAATGGGTAGGCCTGGCAGCCAAGTCAACTGGACCACATCTATTGGTCTAGTGTGCCCATTTTATGTCATAGATGTGACGTTGAAAACTTGAGTATGTTCTAAGTTCGGGGTGTGGGGGAGGGGGAATCAGACCATTTAAAATCAAATTAATTGGGCTTTTTCTTTAAAGGCATTTGCCGTGAGCCTTATTGCAAAGTGACTTTTTCATCTTAGTCCCCGTTATCCAACAGGGATGGGTATTTGGGTCTGTGTGTAACTTGGCATTTGACTATCATGGCAATTGAAGCTCCCATGAAGAGGTGTCCATTTTGCCATGAGCATATAGTTTCATAGATATTTGAGGGTTTGTGTAGATATTTGAGGAAAGCACTCAAACTTTGGCCTTCTTTATTATGGTCGCTTGAGTTGGGATGCTCTATTTATGAAGATAAATTTAATATATAAGGGGCTGGGACTGGTGTGTAATTGCTGTCCCGGGGGTTCATGTGCTGCCCCAGCACGTCAGACTGTCCTCTCCACCCTGAGCCTGGGAGTGAGCTGCAGGTGTGAGTTTTACGAGTCACTGTTAAGAGGCAGAGCACATCTTTAGGCCAGAAACTGTCCTTGCCTGGGATTTTCATTCTATTTTGAATTATTTATTTTACAAAATGTGGGGGAAGTGTCTGTAGGATAAGGCAGGGAAACATATGTGTTAGGCTTTTATTGCCCCCTGGGAAGTGGTGAGTGTAGACACGTTGGTTCCAGAATCTGGTTCTTCTGCATTTCCCAGCCTGACTCTTACAAGGAGGCCTGTTGAGTGGGAGATTCTAACCTTCTGGAAACAAATGATTCTCCACCTCAGGCGAGAGACCTTGGTTAGAAACAATGGACTGATCAACTGATTTAGACCAACAACCAGGGAAGCCTTGGAGTCAGGATCCTGGGCAGACCACCTCTCTGCTTTCTTCATAAATGGATTTTATGTAAAATGCAGAGTTGGACTACATCATCTGTTTCAGCTCCACAATCTGTGATCCTTGGATATCTCATGATGGTTTGTTTTAGGTTTCTGTTCTCATGCCTGCAAGCAGTAAAACTTGGTCTCCAGAAATCCCCTCCCCAAGCATCTTGTCCACACACGCTCCTCTCTCCGTGTCCTGGGTGTTGACTCTGAGCTTCATGCTTTAGAGCAGAACCCGTTGGTGGCCTTGCTGGGTGCACCAAGCTTCCTGCTCCCCATGAGGGCGCCAGGCTGCAGGACAACCCGGCAGCTTCCTTCCACAGAACACCAACCTTGGCCTTCCCTCTTGACTTATGGTTGGTTCTTCTGCATTGACCAATAAGCCAGGAGACTGAGGGAAGGGATCTCAGCTGCCTGATTTTTACTGCTTAGACATAGCTATCAGAGCTTGACTCTTTGTCTAGAAAAACAGAGCATCTGGGGAGCTAGTGAAAAACCCTTAGGCGATTCCTAAGGTTTCCTTGGGTATGCTGTACTTCGTTTGCATATTTGAGTGTGTGCAGATGTGCGTGAATTTCATGTTTTGTTTTTTTTTAAAGGGGTGGGCGGAGGCTGAGGTATTGGGAGTAGAGGAAGATTTAATTAATTTTTGTGTGGTTATGTTTCATAGAGAACATTGGTGGGTTTTTTTTTTTCTTTTTCCCTGTCAGCTGGTCTGGTGGGTTTATGAATTCCCATTCTTTTTTTTTTTTTTTTTGAATTCTCATTCTTAAAAGACATTGTTCATAAATTCTAGAATTTTAGATTAGGACTGTTCTACTGTGAATAAAATTCTGGCTCTGTTAGCCCAGCCATTGCTTTTCTCCACTCAGGTCTAGAATCCCAAGCAGTGTTCTTTCATTGTGAACATTGTGAGCTGCAGACGCAGCTTTTCTTTAGAAGGTCATCTCTTCAGCAATCCAGGGATTCCTTGACCTCATTATTCTTTCCTGCCTCCCGTCTAGCCTTAAGTCAAGACATTAGACCTTTGCGGTGTCAGAGGACTTTGCCTCCGTCATGGCACCTGCTGTCTGCCTCTGGAAGTTAAACCCTCTCTGGATCTTGAGATCCAAGGTGTAATCCTCTGGATGGCCGGCCCTGACTTCAGCAGTGCTGGTGCTGCTAAGTGTGGACTGAGTGTGTACAACGTGCAGACGACACACTGCACGGGCCTTGCTTTGTTCACTGGGGCCTGCTCCAGGAACTCTGGAAAACAAGAGCCAGCATCCCAGCATCCTACACTGTCTGTCATGCTCTGTCATTTCAGGGTGGGGAAGTGATAAACTACTTGCCTTCTAGAGCACTTTGTGAAAAATTAAAAAACGTGCAACTCTATGATTGTTCATTGGTTCCTCCAACGCTGGTCAACAGCCAACACTGCTGGAATTTCCAGGTCTGCACCGGCCAAGGATGTCAGAGGCCAAAGGTAATCATCACTGCTGTGCAATCCCTGTGGCAAAGAACAGAGGGTGGTCACCAGCCTTCCTGTCCAGTGGGACATGTTTTAGACTGCTGGAGAGGTGGGTAAGCCAAAAAGGATTCCAGGCCTCCAGTGGGAGGGTGATTGACGGAGGATTCATTTTGCATTTCTGTGCTATTGGTCAGCCTATCTATCAATTCATCAAAAGATACTGAAATGCTTGTCCCAGGCCAAAGAGATTTATCTTGGGGCAAAAAAAGGAGAACCCATGTTGGCCTCAATGACCCCCTGTATTTCAGCTCAGGCTCCCCCAAAACCTCAAAAACCAGGTGTGAGCGCTCCCTTGTTTCAGGCCCTGTGCTGGGCACTGAGATGCTCAGAGGTCTAGAAAAGGTCCCTACTGCTGTGGCGTCTGTGGTCCAAGGGAGAAGCCATGTAAGCAGGATGGCTTTCTTTCAGAGGCTGGAACAAAAGGGGCCATAGGACCCAGGGAACCTGGTTCTGCTGAGGAGGGGGCCGTTGGGGGCAGCTTTGCTGGGAATGTGACAGTTGTGTTGGGTTTGGGGCTGTGGAAGGGCCTACTAGGGAGTGATGGGGAGCTGGGTAGGACCGAAGAGTCAGCTGTGTGTTGGGGTTATTGACAGGAAACAGTCTTGAGACCCGATCATGATGGCAAGGAGGCTACCCTCCTGCTCCAGACTGTTCTCACGAATGCAGAGGCCGTTGTTTCTGGGGGGGAATTCTAAGTTTGGTTGCTCTCCTGACAGACAATGCAGAGATTTCCAGTAAAATGCTGGTGTCGGAAACAAAATTCCCATTCAGCTACACACATGGGAATATTTTCACTTACAGTTGGAACAAATCCATCTAATTAGTAACTGTAGGATAAAGATGAGTTTTCCCAAGAGGCTTCTACAATGTGCTTTCAAGACATTCTTTCCAAGTAAGTGATCTTCATGACTGACAAGAAATTAATTCAGTGAGGATTTAACTAATGACAAAGTGAGAGTTAAAGTGAGGCTGGTCATTTGATAAAATAGCATGTCATGGATGATCTGCTCAGAAACCTCAGCACAGGCAGCCTTGGAAATAATCATTTCACCCACATTTTATGTTTTGTGGGGATGTTTGTTATCTCAGAGAGAACCTTCCTTCCCTGGAGACTTCCTGATTAAATGTGTCAGTGGGAGGGGGGCCAGGAGGAGAGAGCAGTGACATGGGAGGGGACTCCCTGTGAGTGGGCTGAAGGTATTCCCTAAATAGAGCAGGGTGGCTGAGACAAGGGTGAAGAGTCTGGCCAGTGGTGGCCAGTATGTTGTTTTTGGTTTTGTTTTTGCCTGCTTGGAAAAGAGAGAAATGATAGGTTTTAGTACATTGTGTTAACAGATTACATAGAAAATGGTGCCTTCTCTTTCATTTTTAATTTAAAAAAAGTTTTTAGTTGAAATATAGTTGATTTACAATGTTATGTTAGTTTCAGTGTACAGTGAAGTGATTCAATTATATATGTGTATATGTATGTGAATATATACTTTTTTTACCTTCTCTTCCATTATCGGTTATTATAAGATATTGAGTATAGTTCCCTGTGCTATACAGTAGGTCCTTTTTGGTCGTCTATTTTATATAGAGTAGTATGTATATGTTAATCCCAAACTCCTAATTTATCCCCGCCTCTCCTTTTGGTAACTGTAAGTTTGTTTTCTATGTCTGTGAGTCTATTTGTTTTGTAAATAAGTTCATTTGTATCATTTTTTTTTGATTCCACATATAAGCGTATCATATGATATTTGTCTTTCTGTCTGGATTACTTAGTATGATAATCTCTAGGTCCATCTGTGTTACTGCAGATGGCATTATTTCATTCTTTTTAATGACAGAGTAATATCCCATCGTGTAATATGTGTGTGTATATCATATATATACACATTATATATGTGTATATGTGCCACATCTTCTTTATCCATTCCTCTGTTGATGGACACTTAGGTTGCCTCCATGTCCTGGCCATTGTAAATACTGCTGCTATGAGCACTGGGGTGCATGTATCTTTTCCAATTATGGTTTTCTCCAGGTATATGCCCAGGAGTGGGAATGCTGAATCACATGGTAGCTCTATTTTTAGATTTTTAAGGAACCTCCATACTCTTCTCCATAGTGGCTGTACCAATTTATATTCCCAACAACAATGTAGGAGGATTCCTTTTTCTCCATACCCTCTCTAGCATTTATTATTTGTAGACTTTTTGATGATGGTCATTCTGAACAGTGTGAGGTGGTACCTCATCATAGTTTTGATTTTCATTTTTCTAATAATTAGTGATGTTGAGCATCTTTTCATGTGCTTTTGGTCATCTGTATGTATTTTTTTGAGAAATGGCTATGTAGATCTTCTGCCCATTTTTTGATTGGGTTGTTTGTTTTTTTGATATTGAGCTGTATGGACTGTTTATATATTTTGGAGATTAATCCCTTGTCAGTAGCATCATTTGCAAATATTTTCTCCCATTCTGTAGGCTGTCTTTTTGTTTATGGTTTCCTTTGCTGTGCAGAAGATTTTAAGTCTAATTAGGTCCCATTTGTTTTTGATTGTTCCTGATTTTAGAGGAAATGTTTTCAGCTTTTAGCATTACATATGATGTTAGCTGTGGGTTTGTCATATATGGCCTATATTATGTTGAGGTAGGTTCCCTCTGTGCCCACTTTCTGGTGAGTTTTTATTGTAAATGGATGTGGAATTTTATCAAGCTTTTTCTGCATCTATTGAGATGATCATATGGTTTTTATTCTTCAATTCGTTAATGTGGGGTATCACACTGATTGATTTGCAGATATTGAAAAATCCCTGCATTCCTGGGATAAATCCCACTAGATCCTTGTATGTGATCCTTTTAATGTCTTTTTGGATTCTGTTTGCTAATATTTTGTTGAGGATTTTTGTGTCTATGTTCATCAGTGATAATTGGCTTGTAATTTTCTTTTTTTGTAGTATCCTTGTCTGGTTTTGGTATCAGAGTGATGGTGGCCTCATTGAGTTTGGAAATGTTCCTTCCTCTGCAATTTTTGAAATAGTTTCAGAAGGATAGGTAACTCTTCTCTAAATGTTTGATAGAATTTCCCTGGGAAGCCATCTGGTCCTGGACTTTTGTTTGTTGGGAGTTTTTAAATCAGTTTCAATTTCAGCGCTTGTGATTGGTCTGTTCATATATTCTATTTCTTCCTGGCTAAGTCTTGGGAGATTGTACCTTTTTAAGAATTTGTCCATTTTTCAAGGTTGTCTATTTTGTTGGCATATAGTTGATAGTAGTAGTTTCTCATGAACCTTTGTATTTCTGTGGTGTCAGTTGTAACTTCTTTTTCATTTCTAATTTTATTGATTTGGAGCCCTCTCCCTTTTTTTCTTGATGAGTCTGGCTAAAGCTTTATCAATTTTGTTTATCTTTTCAAAGAATCAGCTTTTAGGGCTTCCCTGGTGGTGCAGTGGTTGAGAGTCCGCCAGCCGATGCAGGGGACATGGGTTCGTGCCCCGGTCCAGGAAGATCCCACATGCCGCGGAGTGGCTGCGCCCGTGAGCCATGGCCGCTGAGCCTGCGCGTCCGGAGCCTGTGCTCTGCAACGGGAGAGGCCACAACAGTGAGAGGCCCACGTATCACAAAAAAAAAAAAAAAAAAAAAAGAATCAGCTTTTAGTTTCATTGATTTTTTTTCTATTGTTTTTTAGTCTCTATTTTATTTATGTCTGCTCTGAGCTTTATGATTTCTTTTCTTCTAACTTTGGGATTTGTTTGTTCTTCTTTCTCTAGTTGCTTTAGGTGTAAGGTTAGGTTGTTTATTTGAGGTTTTTCTTGTTTCCTGAGGTAAGTTTGTATAGCTATAAACTTCCCTCTTAGAACTGCTTTTGCTGTGTCCCATTGGTTTTGGATCATTATGTTTTCATTTTCATTTGTCTCTAGGTAGTTTTTTTATTTCCTCTTTGACTTCTTTAGTGACCCATTAGTTGTTTAGTAGCATATTGTTTTGGTTGTTTAGTAGCAGGCTGGTTAGCCTCCAGGTGTTTGTGGGGGGGGGGGCGGTTTGCAGTTTTTTTCTTGTAGTTGATTTCTAATCTTATAACATTGTGGTTGGAAAAGATGCTTGATACAATTTCAATTTTCTTAAGTTTACTGAAGCTTGCTTTGTGACCCAGCATGAGATGTATTCTGGAGAATGTTCCATGTGCGCTTGAAAAGAATGTGTATTCTGCTACTTTGGGATGGAATGCTCTATAAATATCAATTAAGTCTATCCAGTCTAATGTGTCAATTAAGGCCTGTGTTTCCTTACTGAGTTTTCTGTCTGGATGTTCTGTCCATTGATGTAAGTGGGGTGTTAAAGTCTCCCACTCTTATTGTGTTACTGTTGATTTCGCCTTTTATGGCTGTTCGCATTTGCCTTATATATATTGAGGTGCTCCTATGTTGGGTGCATATATATTTACAATTGTCATATTTTCTTCTTGGATTGATCCCTGGAACATTATGTAGTGTCCTTCTTTGTCTCTTGTAACAGTCTTAATTTAAAGTCTCTCTTGTCTGATATGAGTACAGCTACTCCAGCTTTCTTCTGATTTCCATTTGCATGGAATACCTTTTTCCATCCCCTCGCTTTCAGTCTGTATGTGTCTCTAGATCTGAAGTGGGTCTCTTGTAGACAGCATATATATAGGTCTTATTTTTGTATCCATTCAGCCTATCTGTCTTTTGGTTGGAGCATTTAATCCATGTACATAGCTATATGTATGTTCTTATTGCCATTTTATTAATTGTTTTGGATTTGTTTTTGCAGGTCTTTTTTCTTCCCTTCCTCTTTTGTTCTCTCCTCTTGTATTTTGACGACTATCTTTAGTGTTGTGTTTGGATTTTGTTTACTTATTTGTGTGTATATCTATTAATACATTTTTGGTTTACCATTACCATGAGGTTTTGATATATGTATGTTCTGATATTTGTCTGTGTATATATATGATTGTTTTAAGTTGCTGGTCTTTTCATTTCAAATGCATTTCAAGATTCTGCATTTGTACTCTCATCCTCTCACAATTATTGGTTTAGATAATCATATTTGTGTGTGGATGATTTCCTACATTTACTGTATGTTTGCCTTTACCAGTGAGCTTTCCCATCTTGTAATTTTCTTGTACCTAGTTGTGGCCTTTCCTTTTCCACCTAAAGAAGTTCCTTTAGCATTTGTTGTAAAGCTGGTTTGGTGGTGCTGAATTCTTTTAGCTTTTGCTTGTCTGTAAAGCTTTTGATTTCTCCATCAAATCTGAATGGGAGCCTTTCTGGGTAGAGTATTCTTGGTTGTAGGTTTTTCCCTTTCATCACTTTAAATATATCATGCCACTCCCTTCTGGCCTGCAGAGTTTCTTCTAAAAAATAAGCTGATAACCTTATGAGGATTCTCTTGTATATTATTTGTTGTTTTTCCCTTGTTGATTTTAATATGTTCTCTTTATTTTTAATTTTTGTCAATTTGATTGCTATGTGTCCTGGTGTGTTCCTCCTTGTATTGATCCTGTATGGGACTCTCTGTGCTTCCTGGACTTTGGTGATTGTTTCCTTTTCCATGGTAGGGAAGTTTTCAGCTATTATCTTTTCACATATCTTCTCAGGCTCTTTCTCTTATTCTTCTTCTGGGACCCCTATAATGTGAATGTTGGTGCGTTTGATATCGTCCCAGAGGTCTCTCAGACTGTGCTTTTTTCTTTTTATTCTTTTTTCTTTATTTTATCCCGTGACAGTGATTTCCACCACTCTGTCTTCCAGCTCACTTATCTGTTCTTCTGCCTCATTTATACTGCTATTGATTCCTTCTTGTGTTTTTCATTTCAGTTATTGTATTCTTCAACTCTGTTTGGTTCTTTATTTTTTCTCTTTTTTAAAAACTTCTTGTAACTTCTGTGCTCTGTGTGCATCCATTCTTTTCCTGAGTTCTTGGGTCATCTTTACAATCATTACTCTGAATGCTTTCTCAGGTAGATAGCCTATCTCCACATCACTTAGTTATCCTTCTGGGGTTTTATCTTGTTCCTTCATCTGGAACTTATTCCTCTGCCATCTCATTTTGTCTAAACTTCTATTTGTATTTTTATATGTGTGGAAGGTTAGTTACATTTCTTGACCTTGGAGAAGTGGCCTCCACTGTAGGGGATGTCCTATGTGTCCCAGCAGTCCACTTCCCTCTCATCACCCAGTGTCTGGGCACCAGCTGGTCCCAGGGTAGGGTATTTGTAGACTTAGCGCCGCAGGCTGTGGGACTGTATATTTCTTGCTTCTGGTGTCTGCCCCCTGGTGGGTGAGGCTGGTTTAGAGGCTTGTGCAGGCTTCCTGGTGGGAGGAGAAAATGGTGCCTTCTCTTCTTATGCAAACGGAATGAGGAAATGGCTTGAATTGCAGCATGAAGAGTTTAGGTGTGCTTTCAGGAAGAATTATTAAATACTGAATGGGTTCCAGGCAAGTGGTGGAATGGCTCCATTAAAATTTGTTGTTGGGCTGGAAAGTGGCTTCCTTTCTGGTCTATAGATTTGCCTAAGATGGCCTGTGTCTTAGCCTCCACCCGTAGGTGTACTGATATTGAGATGATCTTAGCTCGGGTCCCTCCTGCCACACCAGGGAGGCCACTCACAGCCACAAACCGCCTTCCCGTATGCCCTCAAAAGGGATGGAAAGAATGAAGGATCACCTCTGAACACTGGTTTCTCTTTAATTTACTGAGTTTATTTTTTCTGCCCCTCCCTGGAGTTTCTTCAGCTTGGCTTCCTCTGCTGTGGGCACTTTGACCAAATCTCTATGTCTTAACACCAGCTTCGTGCCCCACCCCCTGATGGTCCAGAGGAGGCTCCTCTGGGTGCTTCCTGTTCTAGGGGAGGCTGGGTAGGCATCTGGGCTCTTGCTCATGAGGGAACATGATTTTCAGTGTCCTGGACAGCCCTTGCTCTCTGTTCTTCAGAGAAGATTAGAAAATAGCTTGTGACAAAGTGTCCTCTCCCAAAGGGAACTGGCAGTTTGGGGAAGACCCTCAGACAGGAGTTGAGATGTTTGTATTGATGGTGTGGTCTGAAGGGTTTTAACTGCTCTGTAAAATGCCAGCATGAATTGGGAAGACTTGAAGGGGATATTACTGTTTAGAATGGCCACAGGGAGGAAACCATGCCCATAGCTGAGCAGGGAGGGGACAGATGAGGGGTGCAGACCTTAGGGAATTAGAGGGGAGAGGAAAGAGGCAGCTTCCAGGGCACAGCACAGAGGTTCAAGTCCAGGAGAGAAGTGCAAGGGCCAAAGGGATAAGAAAACAGATTCAGGCTCATTAGTGGAGAAGTGAGCCTGGTGCACAGGCTGGAAAGGGAGGGAACCAGAGGCAAAAAAATAGTAGGAGAGGCTTGGAATTGAAGTGGCAACCCAAGCCCTTAAAATGACTATTTTATCCTTGCAAACCTGCAACAGCGGGAGAGGCTGAGGTGGCAGTGAGCTGGACAGCATGCAAAGGAATAATTGGGATGCCCAGGGCCCCCAGTGCCTGTGGAACAGCAACAATTCACTGTCCTGCACGTGAGTCATCCCTGGGCAGAGGGAGAGTCAGAGCAGAGAGCCCCATTCTGCAGGGAAAGAAAGATACAGGTCTGGGAGAACAGGGGAATGGGGGCTCAGCTTCTGGTGAGAGACCTGTCCCCCCCTGACCACAGAAGGAATCCAAAAAAGGTGGGGACCCTGACAGGAATCACCTTAGGCTCTGGGAGGGGGATGCTCCAGCTCAGGGCCGTTTCACACGGGCCAGTGGCTTCCTTCCGAGTCCGCCCAGTGTGTGTCCCTGTGCAGCCTCAGCCCCGCCAGGAGGCACTGTGGTCAGGGCTGCGCTGGGCCCACACTCCCCTCTCTCCAGCCTCTTTGGAGCGGGTCTGTGGAGCAAGCTGCAGGAGCCCTGGCTGCCCTCCAGCTCTGTGAGTCAATCTTTCCCCAAAGCAGCAGCAGGCTCAGTTTTCCCAGGGTGCTGTTCAAGCATCTGAAGTCCCATGTCTGAGTGTCACATCTGCCCTGTGTCATTGCTTATTAGGGAAGGAGGCTGGAGGGCTTCTAAGAAGACAGCACGCCACCCCCTTAGGCCATGAGCTTCCCGGGAATAACAGCAGTGAACTCTTAAAGTAAGCACCAGAGGGAAGTGCTTTCTTTACGTGTGCTGTGTAATGTAATATACTACATGAACCTCCAGAAGTAGGAACTATTTTCAATCCCCACTTTTTAGATGAAGCAATAGCTAAATGACTTGCCTAAGATAGTAGGTGGGCTGGGAGTCAAGAGCTAGGCAGTCAGATCCCACCCACACCAAACTGCAACCATGCAAAGCTTCTAGAGAGAGACTTTGCCTCATTTCTTGTTTCCTCACTAACATCTAATGTTTCTGTCGCGCTCTCTCTCATACACACACAGCCTGATGTATAAAGAAGCTCGGCAACCCCATCCCCTGTTTACTTCTCATCTATGAAATCTCATATATTAATTTTTTTTTTAGCTGATTAGACCAATTCGCTGGCTTGCTGGAGGCTTGGATGTCAGATGTTATATAAACGAGGATCATCAGAAGTAGACATCGGGGGGCAAGGTATTATTTAGAATGCTTCTCCCATTTAGAATGCTTCTCTCCCATTTTGAAACTGGTGCCCTGGTAGTGGGCTGGCCAAAAAGTTCGTTCAGGTTTTTCCAGGAGCTGGTATGAAAAGCCCGAACGAACTTTTTGGCCAGCCCATCTTTTTTTTAAAACGGCTGGAGCAATCTAGAAACAGTTTAAATCATTTACTTTTCTTCTTTTTTCAACTTGACTTACCGGTTCCCTTTGTGTGGGAGATTGTGACTGCAGCACAAAACGTTGCTCTGAGTTGAGACAATCGTAGGAATAAAAATGATTTCTTTTGAGGAAACTGTGATGAAGTACTCGATACTGATCACTGGTGTTCGCTCCCTTAACTCCTCATTCAGTTGGTGCTTTTCACCCACCCCACGGGTTCATCATGCATCCTAGGTGGGAGTTAACTCGCAATGCCATCCTGGTCCTTACGGCCCCGTTTCCCCATCTGCAAGATGAAATGATGCTCAGGATATCAGGCAGCAGTTCTCCGACCAGCAGCAGATCTCTCCTTGGAGACTTGACAGAACCAACCAGATGCACATCTAACCAAGGTAGCCTGTGGAAATTCACATGTAGCTTTTGGAAATTCACATGGTTGGAAGGCTGGGGATAGAGCCAACAGACCCCAGGCATCCTGTCCAGCTCCAGCAGGCTGTAGAGGAGCATCTGTCAGGAAAGCCCAGTCCACTGTGACACCCACATAGCAGGGTTTGGTCATTCAGAGCCCTGCCCTTGACCTTTGGCAACTGACGTAACTGCTCTGGGCCTCAGCCCCGGGATCTGTAATACAAGGGCGAGGACTACATGATTTGTAAGATTCCTTCCAACTCTTAAGAAAATGTTAAATACCTCAAACTGTTAAATAAGTGAATTGCCTCCACACAGTTTTCCGGGTAGAGATGTTGAGAAACCACACCAAGTGGTGGTTTTCTAATTCAGAGTCTTAAATTAACTAAATTTGGCTTCTATTTGAATCTCACAGTTTATGTGGAAACACTTTAAATTTCCTAGATTTTTAAAAATTTGACATACAACTACGTCTGTAAAGTAGCTCCTAGTTTAAAGTAGGGACCACATGAGAAGCATGTAAATTGGTGGTGACCGCATGTTAGGAATAAATTCTATAAGGCTAATTCTAAACAAAATTAAATTACTCTTGTTTTTTCTCCTCCTTTGAGCACCTCTCTTTCTTCAACCCTTCCTTTGCTCTGTGCAGCCCCCATCTCAAGTCCTCACTGCCATCTCCTCCAAACACTTTTCGGAGAATGTGGGAAGATGAACAAAGCCATGCACCCTAGGGAGAAGACAGAACTCCTTTGTGCGGGGACGGAAATGCTCGTCTACTCCAGGTGCCCTCCTACATTTCCCCACCTCCCCTGCGTTTAGATTGGGGCCATAGACTGGCCAACGGACTGTGAATGGAAGTGATGTGGTCCCTTTCGTCTAAGGCAGTCAGGAAGAGTTGTGAGTTCTCTCTACCATCACTGGGAGTTGAAAGAAAAATCTGAGATGGCGGAGTTGCAAGATGGAAGCTGCCTGGACCCTTGGAGCCGCTAAGGAGAGCTGCCCGATTTGCAATACCTAGTTCAGTTTTCAACATGTCATATCTTAAGTTACTGAGATTTCATGGTTTGTTACTTTAGCCTAGGCTAGCCTAATAGTCCCTTCCAGAATTATTTCATTTTAACGGAGATCCTAGGGGAAACGGTAACTCAAAACAGGACAGAAATAACTTTTCATAGTGGAACTGTGGATACAGGTTGTAACTGGTGCCGTTGCGGCAGCCCTGTAGAAAAAGAGGGTTGACATCGGGGCAACTTCTCGATACCACTAAAAATAAATACTGTATGCCTCTAATGGTCCTGTGCTGCATGGCAAATTTGAAAAGGCTCCAAAGAAGGAAATTTTAAGACAGTATTCCTTCAGGCAAAATCTCACCAAGCTGCTTCTACAGGGAGGCAAAACAAGGGAACCCATTTTCTCAAATGATCTTGAAAACATAGTCACCTAGTGCCAGACACAGAAATCCCTTTTTTTCCTGCCCATATTATCGATTATTAAAACACCTACTTGGCTTTCTCCACTATCCCACAAGGACCTAGAAAACTTGATAATTTGGATCCATTTAGGAATCCCTTTTCTTTTTTGGAAACAATGTGACGGAATGACAACATGCATCTGTTGAATGAAGCTGCCTTTTGGGAAGACCTTGTTTCCTTCCTCCACAGAGGCCCTCCCGGCTTCCGGAGCACCATGGACGGTTTCAAGAATTGTGCAGATGGTAGCAATTGGAGACTCAGGAAAGGCTGTCAAAAAGAAGGCAAAGTACTGCCTTGGATCCCAACTCTAAGTTTGATTTTATACAAGGTGTCCCCAGCCAAACTACTCCTAAGAATGCTGTCCAGCAAGGCATCACATCTGATGGCAGTCTCCTAAGACGTCATTCTTTCCCCTAAATGCGCATGACACTTACCAGTGGAGAGGGTCCCTCCTAACTGTGCCACTGGCCTTCCCTCTGCTCCCTCCAACTGAACCAGCACGGGCTTCCAAAATGCTCCTTGACATACCTGGAACCCAGATCCACCAGATTAATACTCCAGATACAATCCCTTTGGGTCTGGCCGCACATGCCAACCAAGTCCCAAGCCAGTTTATTAATTTGACCGAAAGGTAAACAGATGATGGAGATGCAGAAAGACAAGCATATGCGAGCAGCTAAAAGTATTAACCCGGCTGTCCACCAGGAAACAAATTTAAGACATTTAAAGTGGCATTAAATAAATGAGGCTATGTTTTATCTACTTGTAACTTCCATTGTCTTTTTTAAAAAAGGAAAAAAATATATATATATTTTACATTGCAGTATAGAAATCTAGACTCTACATGTACAGTATAAATACACAAGGCAAGCACATGGGCACAACACGTATGTCTTGGTAGCCGCGCCCTAAACCAGGCCAACAGTTCTACATTTTCTTTTTGACCTTCCAACCAAGAAATTCAGGCTGAGGCTATGTTTCCTTCAGTCCCCATGACGTCTAGCACCCTGGCCATCCCTCCTCCACGCACAGAAGCACAAATCGAACCAGCCTCGCAAACACAGGAAAAAAAGTGCTTTTCAACTAGTTGAAACCAGTTGGTCTTTACCATGCTGTCTGATCTAGAAAGACCTAAAGGAAATCTGAGGCCTTCCTGGCTCATTCTCGTTCTTGGGTCCACCGCCACAAATCTCTAGCCTTTCCCTGGTGTTTCTTGCAGATTTCATATGGCTATTTATGTAACATAGATCACACAGAACCTTTGGGAGCTGTCTTACAGGATAGGAGAAAAAAAAAGCTCCACATTACATTCTGCACTTCATATCTGGGTTCATTCTTTATTTTTGGAATAAAAACCTGGTATTTTGAGAATTTTCTTCTTAAAAAGGACAACATTCTGAAAGTGCTTCTTAAACGTGTCAACATCCCACGTATGGCTTTGTAGTTCAAACCCCAGCCACAGCTCAGATTTGGACGGGAGAGGATGATGGTGGTACTGGAGACAAAAGTGTCACTTAACAGTGATACTGTGATACCAAGTGTGGAAACCTGAAAAAAAAAAAAAAGTTATTGATTCCATCTGGAAGAATGTACCTCTTTAGAAACGAGTTGGATAATATACGGAGCCCCATTTCTTTCCCCATGACTAGGCACAGGAAGGCTATAAAAGTTAATAAGTAAAACAGGACACTGCTCTCAGCAGTGAACATCTTCCGAGGGGCTAATCACAGAGCAATCGCTGTTCAGAAGTCGTTCACAGGCTCAAAATCATCAGTTACAGTCAATCGCAGTAGGAATTTCTACACCTGAGGAACAAATTGCACGTAATATAGAGGTACTGCGATCCAGATGGCAAAAGACTGCAGACATGTAGTTTCACATGCAAAAGGCAATCAGAAAAAAACAATGAAGTAGTGGCATTCCGAGACAGATCAGAGTCCACATGAGTCATCCTCCTTTTGTGCTTTCCTTTCTGGCTGATAAGTTACCAAAGAACATGGCTGTATGTGCAAGAATGATTGTGATACGTTCTTTAGGGGGGGGAAACAAACAATGAAGTTGCCAGAAATCAAAATGGGCTTGTGTTGCCTTCAGAGGTGTCACAACGGCTGGACCAGTGGCTCAGACAGTCCTCCAAAGCTGCTCCTAGCCCTCCCTGGGGTAGCAGAAATTGGCCGATGCAAGCAGAGGTCAAAGCCACTGGCTCATCCAAAGCCTTTCCGAGGTGGCCTTTCATTCAGCCCGTGGCAGTTCCCGCCTCTGCGGTTGTTCTTTTCTGGTGGCACTTGATCGAGAAAGTAATCCTCTCCCTTTATAAAAATAGTTTGGACTGCTTATAATACTGGCACAAAGGACACTCTGTATTCCTAGGGTTGATTCCGTTTACTTGGAAGGTATGAGACGAGGTTCTCAGTTCCTTCTAGTTCCCTGTAAAAAGTGACCTCGACTTCCCAGGCCATTGTGCAAATTTGTTTCTCCATAGTCCAGAATATCCCATAAGTCCCTCATATTTATATATATACACACACATACCAAATATGTGTACATACATATATATTTATAAATGTGGGTAATTTTGCATTTCGGTCTCAGGTCAAAGAGAATCATCCTTTTTGTGTCAAGTTCATCTCCGATTTCCCCACGACGCCTATCATAGTGCCTTGCACACCAGAGGTACTCAATAAATATCTGTCCACCTCACCAATGATCCTCTAACACTGGGTGGTAGCTGCAATCACCACGGCCTGTTCTCAGCCCCACCCTGCCTTTGGCAAGCAAGGGGCCACTGGTCTCTCCTTTCAGAGGGTGATTTTGCTGTGTCTGTTGCTCCAGCAGCCCCGTTTGGCTGTCCTGGGCAACGTCAGGCTGGTCCGGCTACGCAGTTTTACTTGCTCTTCCACAGAATTCTTTTTGCGTAAGATGAAGTCAAAGTTCACTTGGCTGTTCATGGCATAGAAGACATTTGCTGAGTCTGGGATCACGAGTTCTAAAAAAGATGAGGAAAGAGAAGGTAGTCAGCTCGTGTAGGTCAGCCCAGCACTGACCGTGGCAGGTGGAAATTCTGCTCAGACACACGGCTGGGACTATGGCCCTTTGTCCCTGGAATGCAAACGGAACCAGACAGTGACCACCACTCCCTCCCCGCAAATCGGTTCCAACAATTTCCCAATCCCAAGTTAAAAAACCTAAGTGCGAATCCAATCTTAGAAATTCAAGCCACGAACCAAATGCGCAAATGCAGGATGTTTTAGCTGGAAGGAAGTGCAGTAGGAAGCAGAGACCTACAGGAGTTAAAAGACATTCCCAAGAGCACAGCTCGTCAGGGGCAGAACTGGGACCCAAACCCGGGTTTCCAGCCTCCCGCAGGCCATTTTCCACTCCACTATGCAGTTTTTCACAGAGACTAAGCGAATCCAATAACACGGGAAAAAGGCAGAAAATCTACACCGTTTTCCAGAACTCTTTACTTGGAAAATCAAAATATTTTTTAATTAATCCCAAATCAAACCAGTATGTTACACCATTTGAGGCCTTGCTTCCTTAAGAACTTGCATTTTAATATTAAAGGGCAACCAAATAAGACAGTATCTATCTCTTAACATTTAAACCATTGCCTACTGCAGTGACTCCCACCTATATAGATAGCTGCAATTTTTGAACAAGGATTATTCCAAGCACAATATGAAGTTATTGAGCAAAGTGATCTGAATTCATTTTTATTTTTAAAAGAAGCTATTACTCTTTAGCACTCAGGGGTAATGGATAGCTTAAAAAACCAACAGGGAATAAAAAAGGTAAAATGTGCAAGTCTTGCTTTGCGGCAGTGGAGTGATGGAGGCAACCAGGAGAGGTGTCTGCCTGCAGAACTGGATTAAGTCGACCTTATGTTAACTTCGACCACTGAGATTCCACAGCACGACTGATGCAATCAGGTTCTGCGTGACTCCGCTACATTTTGCACAAATGTTCCATAAAGGATAACTCCCTTCAAGTGTCCCCAGTCTCCTGCCCACATATTCCTGGGTCAGTAACAACCTACCTCACAGCTATATATCAACATATCTCCAATACGGTACACTTTCGGGTGCGTTATTTCCTGTCATGATCACCCATGATGCACAAGGAACCAGTAGGGTATTGTCGCCATTTAACTAATTAAGGACCAAGGCCCAGGGAGGTCAAGCAGCCCACCTGCCACCACACAGCTGGTGAAGCTGGGCCCCAGCTGCATTCCGGGACTCCTGGACCTTCACACCCACTGGCTTCACCTTGGCGTGTTGGTTTGTGGACGACACGGTAAAACCCAAGAGACCACTTTTCAGGCTTGGACTTTTAACAGTAACTACATTAAAAGATGAAACTGAGAAAGGTTTGCCCCACGACCTTGGGCTCAGCTGGATGAAAGAAAACTTCCAAGAATTTTCTCAGAGGCTATAGTTTTTCATCGCTAAGAAAAGGTACGACTCCAACTTCGCCTACTCTCGTCGGGGCCCGAGATCTAGCCCTGGGTGATTTGTTGGTCAAATGGAGTATGAATAACTGCTCCCTTCCATCATCCCCGCCTTGTATAATTCTTCTTTTCCTTTCTAGGGGGAATGCTTGTTGGGGAACAGCCCTCCCTTGAGACACTTGCATTGGTCTGTGCTGGGTCTGTCAGCAGACAGGGTTGGCCTCAGTCAACAGTATTGGCTGTTCCTTGTGCACTTGGAAAAGAGACTCAGTCTGCCTGAGTCTCCTCGGATGTGACACGGCATAGAGGAGTTACCTACCAGCTCGCCTCCTACCCCTCAACAAATACAACCCCAATTCAGATTAGCAAATCGATACATGCAGGGGGATTATGTGCCTGGAGTTTTCATAAAAGGGATTCCTTCAACTAATGGACTCCTAGGCAAACTGGAGCATTTCATAATCACCAGTTCTTTGCCTCAGTAAGTGTGAGGTAAAGGACCTTCCAATCCTGGCGCTGGAAGCTTTTGCCGCTTGAAGATCAATCATGAATAAAGATAACTGAAGGACAGACTCTCATCAGTGGTTAACTGAAACCATGAGAAATTATCGCAGGAACTGCGACCTTTCTGGACACACACTGTTGGTTAATGGAGGTGCGTGGCCGTCTGCAAACGGCCAACAGACCCCGTCCATCCCCCAACTCCTGACACAGGGAGGGACCTCTTCCTACAGGAAGGCTTGAGGAGAAGTTTACAGAGAACGGGCGGGAGGAACGCTCAGCAAAACCGCAGAAAGCAACAAGGGTTGCTGGGGGACCAGCCTGAGACGCTTGATTCTACAAGCGAGGTGATGGCATATGGCTCCCGGCAGCTCCGCCCTAGCGTGATTAAAAACCCTCACTTGGGCTTCCCTGGTGGCGCAGTGGTTGGGAGTCCGCCTGCCGATGCAGGGGACATGGGTTCGTGCCCCGGTCCGGGAAGATCCCACATGCCGCGGAGCGACTAAGCCCGTGAGCCATGGCCGCTGAGCCTGCGCGTCCGGAGCCTGTGCTCCGCAACGGGAGAGGCCACAACAGTGAGAGGCCCGCGTACCGCAAAAAACAACAACCCTCACTTGGTTCCACTTAAGAAAGACATTGTGTCTACTTCCCGTCTTCTCACACTGGGGCAATCTGCCTTGAGAAGGAACACGCGCCTACCTTTGTCCTCCGAGATGACCTGTACCAGCTCGTACCCCTCAGCCGGGTCCGAGTCCAGATTGTGCTTCAACATCGCCCTCTGGATCACGGCGGGAGTTTTATCCTGGCTCGT